CACCGACATTGACGTCACTGCTCAGGGCACAGCCAAGTTTGACTGTTTCTCCAGGAGATGCCGAGAGGGAGGGCGGCTGGGTCAGCACAGGCTGGGCGAAGGAACCTGCAGACACAGACACTCATGGGTGATGGGGTACAGATGAGGGTACACTGCTTAGGGCCTGGGACAGAGGGGCTGATGCAGGCCAGGGGCCACCCTGGTGTCTGACCCAGGCCTCACCTGTGCAGTGAGAAAGGATGAAGAGGAGGACAGGAGTCCAGGCCATGGTGCACGAAGCCCTGCTGAGGTCTCTGTGCAGGAGCCACCCTACCCCAGGCTTCTTATCTTCCCTACGGGCAGGAAGGGGAGGGGCGTCCACACAGATTTGCTCCCCCTGGTGGTGATCTCTGCTGCACCCTGAATCCAGCTAAAGGTGGAGCTTGGCTATTGAGACCAAAGAGGCTGAAGCATAAGAGCCACAGCTGGCTTCAGGAAACAGTGAGACCCTTATGGAACAGTCTGTGATGACTCCTGAGTCTCTCAGAGGCCACTGCCCTGAGCGATCCTGGCCTGTGGGACCTGCTTCATCTGAGTCTATCCTGACCCTTGAGTGTCCCCAGCCTCATGAATTCCTGGATGAGCAGCAGAACATGTGAGGTACAGACAGGTGGTGACTTTAGGGTCTGACTCAGAAGGGAGGGCCTTGATCCTGGGTGTCCCTGTGTACACGGAGGTCACAGACACTGTCACAGCTCATTGTGGAGGAGACCCCATCTACTCAGTAGCCTGGACCCCAGAGACCTTCCTCCTCTGAGCCTCAAGAGGGAAGAGCAGCTCCCAGGACAGAGGAGAATCAGGAGCTGGAAGGAGGGGACCTCTTCCTATAGCTGTCATGGGGGCTGGGCCTGGGGCACCCTGAGCCAGTGGCTGACCACGCACTGCGAGAGCACACAGGGCTCTGAGTCAGGTCAAGACCCTGGGCTGGGCATGGATCAATTTACAGGTCAGCCTCTTGCTTCATGGTCCATCATACCCTGGAGGTACCCTGATCCCTGATGACTGACCTATGTCACTGAAGGCCTGACCAGGCTCAGAGGACACAGAAAGGATTTAAAAAACGTGTTGAGTAAGGAACAGGGGAAGTCACTTTCACATCCATCGGTCTTTAGAGATTATTTGTTGGCTGAAGAAGGGACAAGAGAAGTCCCCCTGAGTCAGTCATGCTCCTGGGCAGAGCAGCAGTGAGGCCACATGCAGGGACAATGCAGAGAAGGTTTCAGTCTCACTTCCCCGTGGTCTGGAACACTGAGTGCCAGTGCTGGCATGTTCTGTACCACAGTAATAGTCAGCCTCGTCCTCAGGCTCCAGACCCGAGATGTGCAGAACACCTGCATTGGCCGAGGTGTCCTTGGATCCAGAGAAGCGGCTGGGGACCCCGGAGGCCTGGTGTTTATTGGAGTCTGAGTAGTAGTACAGGAGATAGCGGGGACGGCTCCCTGGCTTCTGCTGGTACCAGGATATGTAGTAGTCACCAACACTGAAGCCACTGCTCAGGGTGCAGGTGAGTCTGGCAGATGCTCCAGGAGATGCAGAGAGGGAGGGCGGCTGAGTCAGCACAGGCTGGGACAGAGAACTTGCAGGCACAGACACACTTAGGATTTGGAGGGGGCTGGGGTAAGACCGCAACATGTGACTGCTTTGTGGAACAGAATTCAGTCCACAGCAATCAGTAATTACTGTCGTTTTTTATTAATGAGAGTGAGTTAGAGCAGAGTAAAGTATGTAAGTGTGGAAATGACATTTTTCAAAGTATAACTTTTTCATGCAATTTGGGCAATCATTTGATCATAGTAAATTATAACATTAACTTGGCCATTTTAGTCATTTCTATGAGTACATGTCTTAATCAAGTTGAGATGTAGAGTAAAGAGAAGCTAAGCCCATCCTCAGTGTGGTCCAATCATTACCATTGTCCATGTCCAGGGGTTTTTCACTGCCCAAACAGGAACTGTGCATGATGATGGGCAATCCATGAGGGATGGCCTGTGACAGTGGTGTCATGAGGGCCAGAGGCTAGACCCAGGCCTGGATGTGCCACAGGCTGTCCCACCTGGATTTGTGCAAGTTCTCCCTGTGATGTGTGTAAAAACAGTTGCCTACGAGTACATTTTAGTAAGTGTAACCACCCCCAGCAGGTGGCATGGTGGTTAAGGTGCTGGACTCCCACATGGCCAAGGTTTGAGTCTCAGGCCTGGTTCCTTGCTTTCTCACTTTCCCCCTCTCTCTCTGTTTCTTTCTGGTGAGTACATTTGCCCTATAGCAAAATGAAAACATAATCGTAAGTAAAATTAAATAATTAATAATAATAATAAAAAGAAAGAAATGTGGGACCAGCAGATGGCGAAATGGTTATGTAGCTGGACACCCACGTGTTTGACATCAGTGTGAATCCTGGACCTGGTTGCGTAAACTCACCAGACACATGTGCATGTCTGTCCAAGGTCCTAAGAGGAGAATGGAGGATGAGTGTGGAGTGTCCCTGCCCCCTGGGGGGGGGAGTGATTTCCCACTTCTATCTCTCTGTCTTCCTCTGTCTCTCTCATGAATGCAAGTGCCCTATAGCAAAAAATATTTCCTAAAGAAAAAAAAAATGTAACCTCAGTGTTCAGGACACAAGATAGTGCGCAGGATACAGGGGTGGTGGAACTTACAAGGTGAATTTATGCAGTGTCCTATGGCCTTGAAGTGGCTGAAAGGGAGTGATTTCCCACTTCTATCTCTCTGTCTTCCTCTGTCTCTCTCATGAATGCAAGTGCCCTATAGCAAAAAATATTTCCTAAAGAAAAAAAAAATGTAACCTCAGTGTTCAGGACACAAGATAGTGCGCAGGATACAGGGGTGGTGGAACTTACAAGGTGAATTTATGCAGTGTCCTATGGCCTTGAAGTGGCTGAAAAAGGAAGAGTATTTGGATGCAGATTACTAAAACCCTTCTCTGCCATCATGACGGGCAGGATGGGTGGGGCTGTGTGGACCCAAGTGTGGGAGGTCTCAGCTGTGAACCCTGAGCAGAGGGCAGCAGGCAGGGCCAGGTGGGGGCTCTCAGCTCTGATCCACCCTTTCCCTCTCATGAACTGGGACTCAATGGCCCTGCTGTCCCAGTACAGGCACAGCAGACTGGAGATTTAGAAAGAAATAGACATTTGGCAACTCAAGCTTCTGGTAAACAGAACATGACTGACAGAAGCCGAGAGCATGGTGTGTGTATGCAGAGAGAGGGAGAGAGTGAGAGCGAGTGCTTCATGCAGCTACATATGTGACAACCTGTTCTCACAATCCCTAATCTCATTTACGAGAGCCAGAACTCACTGGGTCTCTCAGGACAACCTCATCTATTCATGAGACTAGTGCCTCCATGATCCACACTGCCCACTACAGCTCACCTCTTATGCTCCATCACACTGGGGACCAAATACAAAACCATGAACCTTTGGGGAGCAAACCATGATCCAAACCATGACAGGATTCCTACAGCAGGGTAAGGAGAGGGTGATCATCCTGACCACACAGACACTTCATGTTTGGAAGCTTCTGGAACTGACCCTGTATGTCTCTTCCACTGATTCATCTTGACTTGTCTCCCTTATACCCAAACTGTGGTCTTATAATACTGGGTTATTGAGGATTAGACTAAGTGTGGTAAATTATCAAACCTACATGCTGTGAGAGCCCCTGAATTTGAGCAGATCAGCCCAAAGCATGCTGATGCTGGATCCCATGAACTTGTGGCTGGTGTCTGAAGTGGCAGAAGGGGAGAAGCCTTGAGAAGACTACTACCAATAACCCATGGGATATGTCCTCAGGTCAGGTATTTTCCATAAGAAAAGTATTGTGGAGTGCAATCCCACCAGAGCCTTTTTTAAATTTTTGTTTTATTTTATAACCAAATATCATATTAGAATACAATTTTCTGGAAGTGTACCACACAACTGCATTATAACAGACGGCTATGACTTATAACAGATGGCTATGACCTCAGTTCTTCCTATAACATATACTTAAGAAAAAACCTATTTTTCTTTAGGACTTATGATTTTTGAAGTAAAACTCTAGAAAAAGTCCTTGGAACTTCTAAAAATATCAGTAACAGGCTTATATTTTCTAGTTATGAAACAACACTTATAAAGACCATAAAGTCGAAATTGTCTATTTGTAAAATTAGTCTGTTGATAAAATATCATCTTGAAAAATGTTTCAATGGATATAAAGGATTAATCATTTAAATATATTATTCTCTATGCCAATGAGCAAAACCTTAATCTTTCTGTGAAGAAAATGAAAATACAGTATTTCTTGGTTTCAGTGAGTCCAATATTTATATATAAAGACCCTATCAGAAGAAGCTCACTGCTATGTACAGGAAGTGATGGTTGGGAAATTCCAGCCAATGTGGAAGGACCTCCCCAGATCACACTGTCCTCTGAGACCCACAGATGGAGTTGAGGTGGATGGACACAGCCTGGCAGCTCAGGAGGCCTGAATAAACAGAGGGAACTTCTTTAAAACATCAGGTTTGTTCCTGGGGGAAATACTTTCAGGCTGGGGCTTTCGGCTCCTGGCAAGGTCACAAAGGCTTCCTGTGATGTGGAGACTCTCATCTCTTCAAGGGATTCAAATGCTTTCAGCATCTCCAGCATCTCCTCCTCTTGTTTGGAGGATGTTGATCTCTCCTCCTCCAGGTCCTGAACCAGGGACCTTAATTCCTGCCTGAGTATCAGGTTGATCCTCTTTGCCTTCCTGTAGTCTTTGGTAAGGTGGGGGATATTGAAGGACTCTCTCTCTTTTCCTGGCTCTCTCCAAAGATGACTAAGTCCCTGCCTGCTGCTCCTCTCTGCCAGCACTGAGCTTGTCAAGGAGCTGACATTTCTCCTCCATGCAGGCAGTCAGGGTCTCTGCGAGCTGCTTCTCTCGTCTCACACAACACCAACTACCACTGACCTAAAAAGTCTGAATAGAAACATGAGGCCCACCAGGAAACAGAGGAGAGGGGGACACTGCAGCGCCTTCCCCTGGAGGTTGTAAAAAGTGAGCCTTGGATTGGAATTGTTGGGCAACAGCTCCTTCATCACCTAATCCAGCTTCCCAAATATTAGCTCAAAGCCCAGCTCCACAGAGGACAACAGTCCCTCCATGGCTCTGCAGTCACCACAGGGCCCTATCCAATCACTGTGGATCCAGCTGCTACAACAGTCCCCAGGGAATGTCCCCACATTCCACCTGGAACCCACCCAGCACCTGGCATTCTTGGGTTGATCAGTTACATGGTCTGCAGTAGAAGGAGATGTGGAAGATCCAAAACACTCATCTACACAACTATCCATTGACCAATCCATCCCCATCCACACTGTTGCTTTTGTTGCAACATGAAATAAAAATATTGTGGCATGTGTGAATCATAGTGTATGGATGGAGAGTTGTACAAGTTTATTCCCCTCTGCAGGAGCCGACACCCCTATCAATACTTGAGTCATGTCTAGTAGAAGAGAAAATGTCCCATGTAACATTTTAATTAATACTCGCCCTCCATGACCATGGGCAGCCTATCTTGATTTACATTAGTACCAATCAGTGTCAGATGTTTCCTGAACATCACAGGATTAAACACATCACAATGCACACTTTTTGTCTCCTTTGACTAAAATAGTCCACCTGATATACATCCAAGTTTCTCTAGGGATAAGAAATTCACTCTGTTCATGTTTGAGCCAATTGACAGTTTAGGAGTATGTCACAGAATATTTATAGCCCTTTGTTTTTATTTTTACTTATTCATTTATTTGAGAGAGATTTTTGCTATAGGGTTTGTGGGCTCACAGAGAGACAGAGAGATAGAAAGCAAGAAGTCAATCTCCTCCCGCCCCCCGGGGAGATGGCCATGCTGCAGTCTGTCCTCTTTCATTCTCCTCTCAGAATACTGGGCATGGAAGCACATGCACGTGATGTGAGGTTTTCTTTTTTTTCTTTTTTTGAGAGTTTTTTTTGGTATAGGGCGCGTGCACTTGCCAGACAGACAGAGAGAGACATAGAGACAGAAAGCAAGAAATCACCCCCCAGGGGGGATGATCACGCCACAATCCCTTCTCCTCCATGCTCTTCCTGGGATCTTGGGCACACATGCACACGCGCCCGGCGTGGGTTTTAACCCACTGGGTCTGGGACGCGAACCGCGGTCGACTATGTGGGAGTCCAACGACATAGCCATTACGCCAACTGCTGGTTCCCCCTGATGTGAGTTTTAAGATGCCAGGTCCAGGACTCAAACTGCAGTCAACTATGTGGGAGCCCGGTCATCTGGACATAGCCATTAAACCATCTGATGGTCCCAATTTTATTTCTTTTTAAGAGAGATTTTTGCTTTTGGGTGCATATGCTCACTGGAGAAGCAGAGAGGCAGAAAGCCAGAAATACTACCCCCTGGGGGTATGGCCATGCTGCAATCCCTTCTCCATTTTCTTCTCAGAATTTTCAGAATGCACACACAGATGCCCAACATGAATTTCAAACCTCCAGATCTGGGACTCGAACTGTGGTCAGCCATGTGAGAGTTTGGTGATACAAACATTATGCCAT